AAAAACAGTCACACACACACACATTACTCCCTCAGTCATTCCACATGCTGAACAAACTCGGATTGGAGCCCTGCAAGGTCTCCCCTGACCACCCGGCATACGCCCCGCCCGACCCCATCTGATCGTAGTCCACTTTAACCAGCGCCAGCTCCTCACCCGAGCCCGCCGTCTGCCCCATTCCAAGAAAACCCCCACTATTGCTGTTGTTGCTGTGTTCCACCACAGCGGACGAGCCCACGGACCCTCCCCCAGTCATCAGCCCGTGCAGCTGCAGCATGTTGTACCCTCCGTACAGCTGGGCCGCCGCGTTGTAACTCTGGTACGCCGTCGTCGTTTGCTGCTGCTGCTGGAGCTGCGCCTGAATGTAAGACGCGTAGTCGTGCTGCTGGTAATCCGTGTTCTGGTGCAGGGACAGCAGCGGCTGGGGGAGGTCGAACTGCTGCTGCTGCTGCTGCTGCTGTTGGGCGAGTGAGTAAGCCTGCGTGGTGGTGGGGCCCACGTAGGGAAATGCAGAGATGAGGTCATGGTGGAGGTCGCGCTTGCGTGACGACTCGACGGCCTGCTGGGCCTCCTTGAGTCGCTTGGCGGCCCCGCCGCCAATGGGGAGTGCCGCGCTCTCCAGGATGGCCTTCACGTCGTAGCGGCTCATGTCGAAGTTGGTCACCGCGTTGAGGCCGCGGAACTTTATGGCCGCAATGTCGTACGCCTCAGCCGCCTCCTCCTCCGTGCCTGTGGGCCCCAACACGGGTTTAATTTCAGTTTTTATATATAAATATATAGATAAATAATAACGGGAAATATGGAAATGTGAAATGAGATTTTGATTGACTGATTGATTAATTAATTACTGAATGTTCCCAAGTAGAGATCTTTGTTCCCGGCTACTCGGCCTATTCTGGCTTGCCACCTCCCGTGCTGGTGGTGCCTGTTTGTACAAATTAAACTAATTTGGATTATTATTATTATTATTATTATTATGAATGATGTGAAAGTATATGAATAAATAAAAAAAAACAAAATGTAATTTGGGATGACCTTGTTACCCCACGGTACATGGATGCTCCCCTAGAGAAGCCACTGCTCTTCCTGATCAATTAAACCATATAAAATTTTTTATATAATTTATATATGCAATTTAATTATTATATGCTAGCAGTGCCTAATTGGTAAGAAAAGTTGAGTAATAAATAGAGGAGATGCTACGGTCCCGTTACGAAATCATTTCATCGAGATTTGTAACCGTTAAACCATCATGTAACCGTCGAAGATAGTTGATCTAACGGTTACAAATTCGACAAAATACTTCTACAATAGATTATTGTTCTGATAAATGGGCTGACAAGAAGAATGATAGTAAAATACATCAAAAGCTATAAAAAGAAGGGTAAAAAAAGGGTTCTAAAATCAGAAGATGCGCCAAATGTATCAATTTCTGACAAAAAAAAGTCTGACTATTGTCATCTTATATAGAAAGATTCACATAATATTGCATGCGCCAATGATTACTTATTATGAACTGAGTTAATTTGATTGGTCAATGAGAAATTATCTGCACAATTTTATTTATTTTATTTTTTTATTATTTTTTTTTATTTTTATTTTTTTCTGGAATTTTGTAAGTCATACCTTCTAATTGAGGCCACAAATTCTTGTCTCGTCATATGTTTCATCTCATCTAACTCCTTCTCGTAGTTGCTAATCTGTGAAATTAATTTACATAAATTCGTAACATTGCAAATTTTTTTTCTCATAAAATGCTAGTATAATATTGCCTCTTTGTATTCCTAAAATAATAATAATTATAATAAAAAAAATTAATTAGATATGAATTTTTGAATATTAAATTTAATTGGGCATACTGGGAAATTGGTAGTAGTGGAAGTTCCCCAGTATTTAAGTGCAGCCAGATCATATGCCCTAGCAGCTTTGTCTTCCTTATCATAACCACCTGATCATTCATATATACCCACAAATAAATTAACATAATAAAATAATTATATGGGAAATGCTACAGTCCCGTTACGGAACCATTCCGTCGGGATTTTTAACCGTTAGATCAGCATGTAACCGTTGTTGATAGTTGATCTAACGGTTTCAAACCTCGACGGAATGGTTTCGTT